ACAAATACCTTTTTATCTAAACATCATTTTGAACTAGGGTATAGTATTAAATAGAAATGAGAGGTAGGAACAGAAGTAAAAATGTCGGGTTGCTTTTAAGAAATGGGGGGTAACCCCTAGTAAATATTGTAAAGAGAAAAGGAGGGAATAAACAAAGACAGAGAAACCAAAGGGTTAAGGTAAATCAGTCCCAACGGTTCCCTGTAATTGCAGTGCAACCCAAAGGAAAATAATTTAAAAATTAACTTTTAATAGATTCCTTCTAAAAAATCAATGCCTAATAGATAGGTAACACACAAATATTGATTAAATAAAAAACGGAGAGAGAGGAGAATAGAGCTTGCAGAGTAACTAGGTTATTCACAGAAAAAAGAGAGAGAAAGGGGTTGCCTAATATATCGTGGAAACATCCAATAGTATCTATAGAGAAAAAAAGGTCTTAAGTCTGTCTAACTGTGCAAACCCTAGTATAACTAGTGCTGTCTCCTAACTCCCAGTACTCACAGGCTCGAATCACCTGCCTAAATATAACAAAGTGAAGCCTCAATAGAAGATACAGAGAGGTTAAAGTCTAAAGATAAAAGTGAAGAGAAGGTGGTCTGCTCGGAGCATGCTAAATGATCTAAACTAGCTGCAGCATAGTCCCCAGTCAATCTCCAACCACCCGCTCGCTAACTAATCCCGACGCGTGTTTCGCCACAGAGGCTCTTCCAAGGGAACCGAGCTGGACGCCGGCCGTCATTTAAATAGCCCGCCCTCCTCTAGGATTGGTCAATGTTCAGACCAATCACAAACGAGGGGGCGGAGTCAAATGCCGAAGCCGATTAACCCATGATCGCAGGGGAAGCCGGCACGGAAGATTAATGAAATGAAAAAGTCTTTAGAAAAGTCAAAATGAAGTGTGATTGTGGATGAATAAACTATTGAAGTAGAATGTGATATGAAACAAGTACCTGCATAATGAGCAGGCTTGTGAATAAAAGTGTCCATCATTGTTATGAAATAACATATCAAGATACAATTATAACATTACATAACTAATACCTGGGTTATAAAACAAAGAATTAGTTGTTATAAAAAAATTGCTCTTAAAGCTTAAAAGCATAATAGAAACAGACTTATAAATGTAGGTTCTCAATGCTGGAAAATACATATGACCAAAGTCATGCAGGTCAATTGCCCAATAGTAATGAGAGTAATGATAGAATTATAAACAACATGGTGCACCAGATTGAAAAGGTGTCCATTGCTGTTACAAAGTAACAGATCAGGATGTAATAGTATCACTGCATCAACAGTGTATGAATGGTGAAAGAACTATCTACAAAAAGGTATTAGTTATTTAGTAAACACTTGTTCTAGCATCTTGAATACATATTAGAAACAGGCTTAGAAATGTAAGTCCTAAATGCAAGAGAAATTACAGGACCAAGATCATGCAGATCAAATATATTGCTCAATAAGAATGAAAGTAATCATAAAATTATGAACAGCAAAATCCACTTGTGAATGCTTGAAAATAGTAAACTATTCCATATATAAAGAAAAAGATATACAATGAGGCTTGGTACCAGATTCGCCCATAAATTTAGAGCAACTGTACTGGCAAAAAACTGATTAAGAATGGATGAATGGAGTGAAATTGAACTCTTCATTCAATCCTTTAGGATAAAGTGTTTGAAACAAATAAATCCAACGGGATTCAGCTTTAAGTAATGCAATGTTAATATCCCCTTTTCTGTGGTTTTGGAAGACTTTTTGAATCACTTGGAATTTAAGTACATTGGGTCTAGAGTTGTGATTTGTATGTACGTGCCTTGCTAGCGGGGTGTCCAAATGTAAATTCAGAATTGAATTAATATGTTGCAAGACACGTCAACGTAATTGCTGATAGGTCTTACCAATGTACTGTAATCCACATTCATATGTGATGATGTAAATGACATTGGTAGAACCACAGTTGATAAAGGAATTAACCTCGATGTCTTTGGCAGTTCTACGATTCCGTACTATTTTAGATGGTAAAATAAAGTTGCAAGCCTTACAGAGCCCACATCTAAAAAGGCCCTTAGTCTGAAGCCAAGTGGATTGGCTTGGTAGTGGTTTCAAATGACTCTGGGTAAGGAGATCTGCAAGGTTCTTTGCTCGTCGATAGGTTACAGAAGGTTTATTGGTAATGGTGTTCTTGAGACATGTATCGTGTTGGAGTAATGGCCAATTACGATTGAATACCTGTAAGGTATTGTTCTAATTTTTGTCATAGGTCCTTATGAGTCTGGTAACCCTAGTGGTGGATTGAGTGGTCTTAGGAGGTTTGTGTAAGCTCTCAGATCTATCTACGATTTTTGTTCTTTGGTAGGCTTTCTTAAGGATACGATTCGGATAACCTAGACTTTTGAATCTCTGTCTGAGAATTTTCGCTTCTCTTTCAAAGTCTTCTGGGTTGGAACAGTTTCTTTTTACCCTAAGGTATTGGCCGTATGGTAAGTTAGCCTTTACATGAAATGGATGGAAACTGTCCCAATGCAATAGACTGTTCGTAGCAGTGGGTTTTCTATATAGTGAGGTGGATACTGATCCATCCTCTGACAGAGCAATAGTGAGATCTAAAAAGACTAGGTGACTCTCATGAATAACATGAGTAAGTTTAAGATTAATTTGGTTGATGTTCAAAGCATCAACCCAATCCTTGAATAATGAAAAAGAGCCTAACCAGAATATTAGCACATCGTCAATGTAACGAAACCATTTGAAGATTGACGAAGTGTACATGGAATAGGTACTGGTAAACACTATAGTTTCTTCCCACCATCCCAAAAAGAGATTAGCGTAGCTGGGTGCACACGACGAGCCCATCGCAGTGCCCCATAGTTGTAAATAATATTTCCCATTGAATGTAAAATAATTATGTGTAAGGACAAATTGTAATAGGAGCAGGATAAACTCCTGTTCCTGTAAATTCAATGTTTTAGCTTTTTTCAAAAAATAGGCTACTGCTGCTAAACCCTTATCATGCGGAATGTTGTTATACAATGCTACTACGTCCAAACTCGCCAGGGATGTATAAGGGGGCACCGTAAGATGTTCCAGGACAAGGAGTGTCTGTTTCGTGTCCCGTATGTGTGATTTTAAACCTGTTACCAAGGGCTGTAACAGCTTGTCCAAAAATTGGCTAGCTCTCTCAGTTAGGCAATGGTTATCCGATACGATTGGCCTACCGGGAGGGTTCTGAGAATCTTTATGTATTATATTAATTTAAATAGACCAGAATCATACCTATAACAAATAGGTATCTATTTACCTTTTTTAATTTTTATCTTTATTTTGCTTCCAAAATACCAGTTCGTTATCCAATTTAAGGCGATTTCTACTACCTCTTTCATACTCATTATCATAACTAATTTTGATAATGTTAAATTTGCCTTCTTGATGCAGTCTTTACTTTGTAACTGGGTATTCAACCTTGATGAGTAGAAATTCATGGGCTTCCCACCAACTGTGAGGATCCTCAGCCTTGTTTGAAGGTAGAAATTATTGTAGCAATTATTGTAACTATGGACAAACAACTTTCATACTCATTATCATAACTAATTTTGATAATGTTAAATTTGCCTTCTTGATGCAGTCTTTACTTTGTAACTGGGTATTCAACCTTGATGAGTAGAAATTCATGGGCTTCCCACCAACTGTGAGGATCCTCAGCCTTGTTTGAAGGTAGAAATTATTGTAGCAATTATTGTAACTATGGACAAACAACTGATATTTGTAGCCTTCAGTAGTGATTGGGCAGTCATCTGATTTCAGAAAAGGCAAGAAGCTCCAGTCATGCTCTTCCTGCTTCCTCTTTTTTATCTTAGCGGGCTATTTATATGATAATGACTGTTAGGAAAAGTAATTTCCTTTGTTACTTCTGACTTCCTAGCAGGCAGCTGGCACACAATGCCCTGCAACCCCTCATGTGCACCCACATGCTAGGAATAGTCATTTTTTTTGTAAAGTATTTGGAGGTAGGGCAAACACATTTTCCTGAACTGTTCATTTCTAGAAGTCAGAGGGGAGTTGAAGAGGTAGGTACATTTTATTGTTGGCTAGTAGTTCAAGGAACACTATAGTCACCTAAATTACTTTAGTTAAATAAAGTGTATAGATTATTCCCCTGCAATTTCACTGCTCAATTCACTACCATTTATGAGTTAAATCACTTTGTTTCTGTTTATGCAGCCCTAGCCACACCTCCCCTGGCTATGACTGACAGAGCCTGCATGAAAAAAAAAAACTGGTTTCACTTTCAAACAAATGTAATTTACCTTAAATAATTGTATCTCAGTCCCTAAATTGAACTTTAATCACATACAGGAGGCTCTTGCAAGGTCTAGCAAGCTATTAACATAGCAGGGGATAAGAAAATCTTAATTAAACATAACTTGCAATAAAGAAAGCCTAAACAGGGCTCTCTTTACAGGAAGTGTTTATGGAAGGCTGTGCAAGTCACATGCATGGAGGTGTGACTAGGATACATAAACAAAGGGATTTAACTCCTAAATGGCAGAGGATTGAGCAGTGAGGCTGCAGGGGCATGTTCTATACACAAAAACTGCTTCATTAAGTTAAGGTTGTTCAGGTGACTATAGTGTCCCTTTCAGCATATCTAATATGCAACATACTTAACCACTCTTTCCCAAATATAGTCTCATATTCCACACTCTGCTCTCTACCTCTCCCACTCTATAGACCAAAGGCATTCAGTACTTTTCTTCTCTGAATTATAAAATAGAGAATATAGAACTGGAAAAAAATTATAAACACACACATATGCCTATATTACCATATAAGCCCCTTTTATTGGGTTTAACATGAATCAAAATAATTTATTGGTCATGGTTAATGAATGTTAAAACAAAAAAGTAAAAATAAAAATAGTAGCAAAGAAAAAAATTAAATATGGCGAGAAGTAGTAGACAACAAAAATGTTACCACAATAAACATACTTATTAAAGGGACACTCTAAGCACCATCACCACTACAGTGCACCTTTGGGGTTATGGTGCCCACAGTCTCCTAGTGCCATACTATGATAAATTGTTGTGTCATTTTCAAATGATTTGATGCTTACCTAGATCTGTTGGGCTCTATGTTCTATCTGAGCTGATATGCTAAAGTAGTAGTAGAGAAGTAAAGTAGAAGTCCTGCACCTTGTCAGACTTCCTCCATTATAAATTCATATTGTGTTCATACAGCACAGCCCTCACCCTTGCTAAACAATCCTACTTTTCCCCTATCATTAGTTCATGCTCACGCAATCCCAGGCATCTCTTTAATACCTTCAACTCTCTCCTTCGCCCACCTCAAGCCACCCCCGAAACTAACCTTTCAGCCAATAACCTTGCATGCTACTTTACTGACAAGATTAAACAGCTAAGGAAATAATTCTTCCCCCTTTGCTCCTCCCTCTCACAACCATACCTGGACCATACCTTCCCTACCATACAAGCCTTCTCCCCAGCTACAGAACAGGAGGTGGCTGCGCTTCTCCTTTCCTCTCTTCCCTCTTCAATCTGGCTTTCACCCCCTCCAATCTACTGAGACTGCTCTTATTAAAGTTACAAATGACCTAATCACAGCTGAATCCAAAGGACACTACTCCATACTAATCCTTCTTGACCTTTCTGCCACCTTTAACACTGTCTCCAGAGGTGTCACTGCTGCCTTTAAGGTGTCTCTTTTTGCAATGACACCACCTGCTCTCGTCCTCTCTTGGTTGGAGTCCCCCAAGGATCTGTTCTTGGTCCCCTTCTGTTCTCTCTTTATACTACCTCTCTTGGCAAACTCATTAACTCCTTTGGATTCCATTACCATCTGTATACCGACGACACCCAGATATATCTCTCTTCCCCTGACCTCTTCCCTGCTGTCCTACAGCATGTCACTGCTTGTCTTTCTTCAATCTCAGACTGGATGTCCTCCCGCTTTCTGAAACTCAATCTCTCTAAAACTGAGCTTCTTATTCCCCCCCCACACCTCATAATGCTGATCCTCCTCCTACGCTTTCCCTGCAAGTTAACAGTACTTACATCAGTCCATCCTTGCAAGCTCGTAGTCTTGGTGTTATCTTTGATCCTAGCCTCACCTTTGCGCTGATCTTTCTCACCCATCGCTCCTCCCATACCTCGCCCCTATGTAAATCTTTACACTGGCTTCCTGTATCCTATAGGTGTCAATTCAAAATATGAACCTTACCTATAAAGTTCTAACCAACTCTAGCCCATCTTACATTTCTTCACTGATTTATAGATATGCCCCTTCTCAATCTCTCCGCTCTTCCGTGACCACCTCCTGTCCGCTGCTCCCACCCTTATTGCTAACTCGCACTTGCTGGACTTCTCGCCAGTGGCTCCCTTCCTTTGGAAAAACCTACCTACCCCCATCAGACTCTACCCTAGTCTTCAACTGTATAAAAAGTCCCTCAAAACGTATCTGTTCAGAAATGCTTATGGACTCCCATAGTAAATTATCTATACCTATCCATATCTGTCTCTTGCTCTTCTGAAGAGCCACACTTCACTCTCTCCTCCAGTTATACTATTTTTCACCTTGTTTTGTGGCTGTCACCCTTGCTGCCCTGTTGTATATTTGTACCCCATCTCCAGTAAGTAAGCTTGTTTGACCAGGGCCCTCATCTACCTATTGTTCATGTTTCACTGTGTAATTGTCTAATTTATTGTAAATATCCCCCCCTTTCATAATATTGTAAAGCGCTGCGGAATTAGTTGGCGCTATATAAATACCAATAATAATAACAAAAATAATAATTATCATGCCATCTCGTACCAAGTTTGGACATTATTCATTAGCTGTGAGTGATTAGGTGAATTCATAATACCATACCAAACATTACAGACAAAATAATTTAATGAATTCAGATGACAACAACAAAAAATAATAATCTATTAATATTGCAGTTTGCATTCAGAGACTTCAGTGTCTTCTATTTTGAGCTAGAAGACCTGAAGCAAGAAAACGGGATTTGAATTCCATAGGTCATTCATTTTATATACATTTTAAAACAATTGTACAGATTCTCTACAAGGATAAGGTAATTGCTTATAGTTACTGTAAAGTGCTGTATAAACATGAAAATAAAAAGTTTTATTTATTGAATAACATTACGTCACACATAAAGGAGAAAACAAAGTTTGATGACTAATCCAGATACACACATAATGATACACATGCAGATACACAGACACACAGAATGACATACACTCACATACACAGTATGACACATAGATACACAGACACACTCTGACACACATGCGAGTACACAGGCACACACACATACAGATACACATATAGACACCCCTACAGACACACATACAGATACACATACAGACACCGATAAACACACACATGCAAACTGTACATTTTTGTATTCACTCTCCTGCCTTTTAGGTACAGGAGGGTGACTTCCCTGGAGTTATGAGGCAGGCTAAGGCTGATGGGAGTCAGAGCTCCCACTCTGACTCCCTCCTCCCCTTTCACCTTCCACGCGTTGCTTTCCTCCTTTTCCAACTTCATGGCTCTGTTAGCTGGGAGGAAGTGACAGCTCACTTCCTCCCAGTTTGACGTCATCACAACAGGACCTGGTCTCTTAAAGTGCTGCAGTGCTGACTTCTAAGGGTTGAATTATAAGTAGGATTAGGGGTTGGATTATGCATTCTATTATGGGTTGAATTATAGATAGGAATTTAGAGTGGATTATGGGAAGGATGAAGGTTGGATTTTTTTATAAGATTATGGGTTGGTTTAAGGGTTGGAATAGGGTTTGTTTTAAGGGCTAGCTTAGAGACAATATTAGAGGTAGAATTACAGGCAGGTTCAGTGAAAAAAAGTATACATGTGGCATATCATTGTACATGTGATCAGCTGCAGAATACACATATATAGTGTTTGCAGAAGTAGGACATGCATATTTTACGAATTACCTCAAAACAAAACATGTGTAGAAAAAAACCCAAAGAAGAAACAAAGTGTCAAAATGTCCTTGCTTACATTGCCTGGTGGATGTACTTTCTACAAAGAAATACTTTTGTGTAGCGGTTTTGGATTCTGTGACTACTATAAAAGCTGTAGTCCCAGCATCAGAGGCGTCACTAGAAACCACCTGGTCCCAGTGTGAAAATCAGGCCCCTCTCCCATGAGTCTTCATCACACCCCTCCAATGTCTCATTCCCACCTCCAGCTTTTTTGTATGTCTCATTCCAGTACCCATGCCCCCTCATGTGTTCCATTCCCTCTCCCCCTCAGCCCCTCCATTTGTACCAGGGTCTGATCGCACTCTTAAAGTGCCGCAATGCTGACCGGGCCACTTAAAACAGTGCATCGGGTGGCCCTATGATTATGGGCCCCCTCTCTCCCCTTCCCCCCTCTCTCCCCCTTCCCCTCAGTGTCCAATTCCTCCCTCTTTCTATCCCCCTCACCTCCATGTGTCCCATACCCTCCCTGTTGTATGGGACACATGGAGGGTATGGGACACATGTTGTATGTCCCATTCTTCCCTCTCTCCCTTCCATGTGTCTCATCCCCTCCCTCCCCTTAATGTCTCCCATTCTTCCCTATCACCCCTTCCTTTCCATGTGTATGATGCCTTCCATCCCCCTCCCCGTTATGTGTCTCATCCCCTACCTCTCTCCCCTCCTTCTGAACCTGCTTCTCTGCCGTGGTTCCCGGTCTGACAGGAAGTGCTCTCACAGTGAGCTCTTCCTGTCAGACCGCTCCTCCATGCTACACATGGGCAGGAAGGGAGCAGCATAGACCCCCCCCCCCCTCCTGCCAGACACCCGGGAACCAGGAAGGCCTTGGAGTGTGGGGCCCGGTTGCAGCTGCGATCCCTGTGACCGTGGTAGGTACGCTGCAGCTCAGCATGCCAAATTTTGCAAAGTTTTAGCTTTAAAACTGTAATTCACTCTTTAAAGTAGTTGTTTTATAACTTCAATTAATTCATTTTAGTCCTAGACAGATTGGGCATTTTAACAATCAGGACTAATTAGTGGATCTATTTTGAGTTAGTTTTCTTTAGTTGCAATTGGTGCATACGAATTATTAAAATTAAAACTGAAATGTTTATTTTAAAAATAGTTTTTTATTTTTTTTATATTTTATTCTATTTAATATTATGTTATGTATACATGTAGGGTATCAAAAGAAAGCTCTATTTCACTTTTTTTTTTTTATATATATATAACATGTATGGGTGAACTTGTACAGAAAGGGGGAAATTGTGGTAGAATGAACTCAAGGCAAAAATGGCAAATTTTTTAAATATTTTTTTTAAATGGCTTTGATCACTAACGGGTCGCATCTCAAACAACCTTGGTGCTTAAAGGATGAACATATTTTCACAAGAAACATTGTTGATGTATTTAAGTTAGGCATAGTTTAATTTTTGTTGCAATATAACTTGTTATGCTTTTCTTTATATCGCATTATGTAATGATTCTTGAAATTGTTCTCCAGGGTTCAGGCCGTAGTATAACATTTCTCCATCAATCCCTGCCCATGCCATCCTTTGTGTGGTAAACCTTGCAGCCCATTCTCCGGTTTTACTGACAGCAATCAATCCACCTCTCCCATGTACTTTGTTTTTCATGTAGTCAAGTGCTTGATCTGAAGCATCCCTTGGACTTTTACCTAGAAACAAGTGATATAAAATATTAATTAATGAATAAAAAGATGATATGATATACAGTATAGGCAACCTTTCTAATGTCACAAACATACTTACAAGTAAAAAATATATTTAAAAAAAATGCATGTTTTAGAGCACTCATTGACTAAAAAAGGAAACTTTGTTCATGGTAGATGTCTGTTCCACTGTGAAATTTCTCTTGGATTCTGGGATAAAATTCAGTTTTAAATCAATTAACTATATAAATATAAATAAAAACGTTGTCTTTATTTAAACACCTTACAATCATTTTTTTTTTCATATTCTTTATTTTTGTCTTGCATAGGTTAGAACATGTAGAAACAATAACATGTCAGAAAGAATATACACATTTTCAAGTTTGGGTCAAACATGCTAAGAGTTATTGCACTTTTTTTTGTCATCCTAAGTTAACACATCTAGATACTGATGAAACACAAAACATTGCAAATTGTGAGTAGGTGCTTGCAGACTTGTTGTGCCTTGAGGGGGAATCACCTTCTCCGGTGCAATGGGTCAGGCAGGAAGCCTGCATTAATAATTTTAGCAGAAGGTTTGCTGTATA